AATATGTCTTTTGATTGAGTTAAGCCATTTCAATTGATATTTTATAGTGTCTCGTTCTATGTTGTGATGTAACACTATTGTTTCAGATAAGGGTGAAGGTTTGGTACCATTAAAACGTTTAAACCCGCTGCAATTGTTTGCACCTGTCCTAAGTCAGGAATCTGATATTCAGTAGTTGTCGTTTGTTGATGTGGTTCATGATTGTTTCTCGTTTCTCGATTTTTTATATAGATTAGACCGTTGGTTTTCCCGTTTGAATGGTTTAACACTACTAATTTTTGGGGCCCTTTATAGCTTGCTGTTCGGTGTGAGCCAAGGCTCCGTGTTGAAGACCGTACTTTGACCTATATTGGTTTACTTTTATAAATTTTGACTTGGATGGAGAGTTGTCTCATTGGCACTCATACCACATCTTCTTATATCTATAAAATCAGACTATTTTGCACAACCTGTAGCGGGAAAAAAGCCCGGTGGCCCATACTTTTTATTATATTTTGAAAAAAGCATGATATCAACTACATTTTGACAAATTATCAAAAAATTATTTGAATTTAGATTTAGACTCTTCCTGCCCCCCCCCCCCCCCCCCCTTTTCCAATCTACCTTAAAATGCAGATTCTGTGTTCAAGCTTTGCTACAAGGATCCGAAATCACTCCGTACTTGTAATTATTACATCAGTCAGTGATATTTCAGCCTTCAAATTTTTCGACAAAACCAGAGAATCCCAAAAGATCTTTAAAAACAGACAGTAGAACAAAGCGTTTTTAGATCCTTGTAAGCAAAGCTTGGACACGAGATCTTTTTTTTTTTTAATCAGATTGCACACAACAGTAAGAAAACTCCATGTACAGAATGTCATACAACAGTTAGAAAACTCCCTGTACAGAATGTCATACAAAAGTAAGAAAAATCCATTTACAGAATGTCAAACAACAGTAAGGAGATACCCTGTACAGAATATCACACAACAGTAAGGAGATACCCTGCACAGAATGTCATACAACAATAAGGATGTACCCTGTACTGAATGTCATACAACAGTAAGAAAAATCCATGTACAGAATGTCATACAACAGTAAGGAGATACCCTGTACAGAATATCATACAACTGTACAGAATATCATACAACAGTAAGTAGATACTCTGAACAGAATGTCATAAAACAGTAAGGAGATACCATGTACAGAATATCATAAAGCAGTAAGGAGATAATCTGTACAGAATGTCATAAAACAGTAAGGAGATACCCTGTACAAAATATCATACAACAGTAAGGAGATACCCTGTACAAAATATCATACAACAGTAAGGAGATACCCGGTACAAAATGTCATACAAAAGTTAGAAAACTCCATGTACAGAATTTCATACAACAGTAAGAAAACTTCATGCACAGAATGTCATACAATAGTTAGAAAACTCCCTGTACAGAATGTCATACAACAGTAAGAAAAATCCATGTACAGAATGTCAAACAACAGTAAGGAGATACCCTGTACAGAATATCACACAACAGTAAGGAGATACCCTGTACAGAATGTCATACAACAATAAGAATGTACCCTGTGCTGAATGTCATACAAAAGTAAGAAAAATCCATGTACAGAATGTCATACAACAGTAAGGAGATACCTTGTACAGAATGTCATACAACAATAAGAATGTACCCTGTGCTGAATGTCATACAAAAGTAAGAAAAATCCATGTACAGAATGTCATACAACAGTAAGGAGATACCTTGTACAGAATGTCATACAACAATAAGAATGTACCCTGTGCTGAATGTCATACAAAAATAAGAAAAATCCATGTACAGAATGTCATACAACAGTAAGGAGATACCATGTACAGAATATCATACAACAGTAAGGAGATACCCTGTACAGAATGTCATAAAACAGTAAGGAGATACCATGTACAGAATATCATAAAACAGTAAGGAGATAATCTGTACAGAATGTCATACAACAATAAGGAGATACCCTGTACAAAATATCATACAACAGTAAGGAGATACCCTGTACAGAATGTCATACAACAGTAAGGAGATACCTGTACAGAATGTCATACAACAATAAGGAGATACCCTGTACAGAATATCATACAACAGTACGAAGATATCCTGTACAGATTATCATACAACAGTAAGGAGATACCCTGTACAGAATGTCATAAAACAGTAAGGAGATGCCCTGTACAGAATGTCATACAACAGTAAGGAGATACCCTGTACAAAATGTCATACAAAAGTTAGAAAACTCCATGTACAGAATTTCATACAACAGTAAGAAAAATCCATGTACAGAATGTCATACAACAGTAAGGAGATACCCTGTACAGAATGTCATACAACAGTAAGAAGACACCATGTACAGAATCGTGAGAATGTCACACAACAGTCCGAACACACCTTGTACAGAATGTCATACAACAATAAGAATTTACGGACGCCATCACGAGTTGGTTGACCGTTATGGAATATCCGTTTCACAGATGACAGCGGATATGTTCCAAATGTCGTAACTAATGTGACCTACGGAATTCGACTTATTACCGGGTTTGTACTAACATGAGCAACACGACGGGTGCCACATGTGGAGCAGGATCTGCTTACCCTTCTGGAGCACCTGAGATCACCCCCAGTTTTTGGTGGGGTTCGTGTTGCTCAGTCTTTAGTTGTCTATGTTGTGTTTTGTGTACTGTTGTTTGTCTGTTTTTTTTTCAGCTATGACATTTTCAGTTTATTTTTGATTGTTTGAATGTCCCTTTGGTATCTTTCGCCTCTCTTTTAACACCAGTGCTGCATGAGGTTAACCGTAGAATATTACAAATTTATAAATTTGTTTTTGTTTTGTCCATGTACAGAATGTTATACAACAGTAAGAAAACTCCATGTACAGATCGTCATACAACAGTAAGAAAACAGTTGTACAGAATGTCATACAACAGTAAGAAAATGTCATACAACATTTAGAATTCTTTCTATACAGAAGGTATGACCTTGGGTACAACCAATCAGACCAAAGCGTAATTTTAGGTATTAGTGTACTAGTTAACCATCTGATTGTGTCAATCACCGTACATAACTCTTAAATAAAGTTTGACTGAAATTCAAGAGATCATTATTCAACGCAGCAACGATATTTTCGTCTTGTTTTTATATCTTTCCCCAGAAAATCATACATTTATATGTTCTATTATAATGGGAATGAATTTAAACTCTATGAAGTAGCATCTATAAAAACAATTCTTTAGAAGACAAGATTACCTTTTATTAAATGGCACTAATAAATATTCACAACACAGTTCCAACTTCTTGTATGATTAAGTTGTGGTATGTTAAATGTGTATATATGGTTTTGTGTGCAGTCGCAAAAACGTCTCTTATATAGAGAGCAAAGTTCTAATTATAGGCTAGTAATTGTTTATGGTAGCGCTTTTGGATAAATTATCTATTAATATTTAACATGTATGTCCGTTGGAACCATATACACACATTAATGTGACTTTATTGCAGTATATATAACACAACATGAACCACACAAGTTTATCAATGTTCGTAACAAATGTCTTTTACTCCATCTGTCGATACCTTCTTCAACCCATTTGTCTCCTACAAGCAAACAACAAAATATCAACTTCAAAAAATGAAAACAACACTCTATTGATTTCATGCGTACGAAAACCTATTCTGGATTTATATTTATTCATCAGAAACGCTCAAAGTCGATAATTTGAAAGCCTAGGATGTATAAGAACCGAAACAGTTGAAGAGATATTTGACCAAAAAGGACATACAAATAATAGCCAAATCCAACTTAGGTCAACTTTCCACTATAGAAAGTTGAAACCTTAGTTATTTTAATAATTTCGAAATTTATAATCGAAAAAAAGAAAGGTTTGTTGTAAATCATGCCAGCATCGAAGTACTGACTACTGGGCTGATGATACCCTCGGGGACTGATAGTCTACCATGCAGCAGAGGTATCGACCCAGTGATGTAAAAGATGAAAATAACACTTTATAAATGTCATGCGTCTGAATCGATTTTCTGGATTTACCTTCATCAGCCTTTCATTGATCCACTCTGGGAACAGTATATCTAATATATGTGTTCCCGATCCACTCTGGGAACAGTATATCTAATATATGTGTGTTCCCGATCCACTCTGGGAACAGTATATCTAATATATGTGTTCCCGATCCACTCTGGGAACAGTATATTTAATATATGTGTTCCCGATCCACTGTGTGTCAACTACTTGTTAATGCGGTTAACGGATCCAATAAAGAACTTATATCCGATCCTGTTTGCAAACGATTTACAAGTGCCATTTTTTTAGTTTGGTGCCTACATATATCAATCACTCACAGAAACACAATCTAATTAAAATATAGTTCTCTGATTTCGTTATACTCATACGAGCACGCGAGTTAATATGGATCAGAATTTTAATCAGATTGTCGCAGAAATACTTTGTGTACATGTGGAATCGATCAAGTGGTATCAGCTACTAACAAAAATATAGTTCACACTCTATGAATACATAAATGCATTCGATCGAGAGGCGTCAGCTACTGGCAAACATATTTTGTGCGCTTTGAACATGTGCATTTGATTAAGCGTTTTCAGCTTCTCGCAGAAATACTTTTAAAATATGCTTTGTCTCTGTGCCGATGTTAGATACTCACAGAAGACTTCAAGTGTTCGTTCGTTTTGAACTCGTTCTTGTATGGTTTGTTCCCATGTTGTAGGTACACGTAAATAATGTTTTTACTTTACATGAGACACACGACGGGTGCCACCAGTGGGGTAGGCAATGTTTACCCTTTATGAGCACCTAACACCTAAGTTTGCTCTGGTTTATGGTGGGGTTCGTGTTGCTCAATATTTAGTTTTCTATCCTTTATGAGCACCTAACAACTAAGTTCGCTCTGGTTTTTGGTGGGGTTCGTGTTGCTCAATATTTAGTTTTCTATCCTTTATGAGCACCTAACACCCAAGGTCGCTCTGGTTTTTGGTGGGGTTCGTGTTGCTCAATATTTAGTTTTCTATCCTTTATGAGCACCTAACACCTAAGTTCGTTCTGGTTTTTGGTGGGGTTCGTATTGCTCAATATTTAGTTTTCTATCCTTTATGAGCACCTAACACCTAAGTTTGCTCTGGTTTATGGTGGGGTTCGTGTTGCTCAGTATTAAGTTTTCTATCCTTTATGAGCACCTAACACCTAAGTTCGCTCTGGTTTATGGCGGGGTTCGTGTTGCTCAATATTTAGTTTTCTATCCTTTATGAGCACCTAACACCTAAGTTCGCTCTGGTTTTTGGTGGGGTTCGTATTGCTCAATATTTAGTTTTCTATCCTTTATGAGCACCTAACACCTAAGTTCGCTCTGGTTTTTGGTGGGGTTCGTATTGCTCAATATTTAGTTTTCTATCCTTTATGAGCACCTAACACCTAAGTTCGCTCTGGTTTTTGGTGGGGTTCGTATTGCTCAATATTTAGTTTTCTATCCTTTATGAGCACCTAACACCTAAGTTCGCTCTGGTTTTTGGTGGGGTTCGTATTGCTCAATATTTAGTTTTCTATCCTTTATGAGCACCTAACACCTAAGTTCGCTCTGGTTTTTGGTGGGGTTTGTTTTGCTCAATATTTAGTTTTCTATCCTTTATGAGCACCTAACACCTAAGTTCGCTCCGGTTTTTGGTGGGGTTCGTATTGCTCAATATTTAGTTTTCTATCCTTTATTAGCACCTAACACCTAAGTTCGCTCTGGTTTATGGTGGGGTTCGTGTTGCTCAATATTTAGTTTTCTATCCTTTATGAGCACCTAACACCTAAGTTCGCTCCGGTTTATGGTGGGGTTCGTGTTGCTCAATATTTAGTTTTTCATCCTTTATGAGCACCTAACACCTAAGTTCGCTCTGGTTTTTGGTGGGGTTCGTGTATGAGCACCTAACACCTAAGTTCGCTCTGGTTTTTGGTGGGGTTCGTATTGCTCAATATTTAGTTTTCTATCCTTTATGAGCACCTAACACCTAAGTTCGCTCTGGTTTTTGGTGGGGTTCGTATTGCTCAATATTTAGTTTTCTATCCTTTATGAGCACCTAACACCTAAGTTCGCTCTGGTTTTTGGTGGGGTTTGTTTTGCTCAATATTTAGTTTTCTATCCTTTATGAGCACCTAACACCTAAGTTCGCTCCGGTTTTTGGTGGGGTTCGTATTGCTCAATATTTAGTTTTCTATCCTTTATTAGCACCTAACACCTAAGTTCGCTCTGGTTTTTGGTGGGGTTCATATTGCTCAATATTTAGTTTTCTATCCTTTATGAGCACCTAACACCTAAGTTCGCTCTGGTTTTTGGTGGGGTTTGTTTTGCTCAATATTTAGTTTTCTATCCTTTATGAGCACCTAACACCTAAGTTCGCTCCGGTTTTTGGTGGGGTTCGTATTGCTCAATATTTAGTTTTCTATCCTTTATTAGCACCTAACACCTAAGTTCGCTCTGGTTTATGGTGGGGTTCGTGTTGCTCAATATTTAGTTTTCTATCCTTTATGAGCACCTAACACCTAAGTTCGCTCTGGTTTATGGTGGGGTTCGTGTTGCTCAATATTTAGTTTTCTATCCTTTATGAGCACCTAACACCTAAGTTCGCTCTGGTTTTTGGTGGGGTTCGTGTATGAGCACCTAACACCTAAGTTCGCTCTGGTTTTTGGTGGGGTTTGTTTTGCTCAATATTTAGTTTTCTATCCTTTATGAGCACCTAACACCTAAGTTCGCTCCGGTTTTTGGTGGGGTTCGTATTGCTCAATATTTAGTTTTCTATCCTTAATGAGCACCTAACACCTAAGTTCGCTCTGGTTTATGGCGGGGTTCGTGTTGCTCAATATTTAGTTTTCTATCCTTTATGAGCACCTAACACCTAAGTTTGCTCTGGTTTTTGGTGGGGTTCGTATTGCTCAGTATTAAGTTTTCTATCTTTTATGAGCACCTAACACCTAAGTTCGCTCTGGTTTATGGTGGGGTTCGTGTTGCTCAATATTTAGTTTTCTATCCTTTATGTGCACCTAACACATAAGTTCGCTCTGGTTTTTGGTGGAGTTCGTGTTGCTCAGTATTTAGTTTTCTATCCTTTATGAGCACCTAACACCTAAGTTCGCTCTGGTTTTTGGTGGAGTTCGTGTTGCTCAATATTTAGTTTTCTATGAAGTGTTTTGGTTGAGCTCGTGTTGCTCAATATTTAGTTTTTTATGAAGTGTTTTGGTGGGGTTCGTGTTGCTCAATATTTATTTTTCTATCAAGTGTTTTGGTGGGGTTCGTGTTGCTCAATATTTAGTTTTCTATCAAGTAATTTGGTGGGGTTCGTGTTGCTCAATATTTAGTTTTCTATCAAGTGTTTTGGTGGAGTTCGTGTTGCTCAATATTTAGTTTTCTATCAAGTGTTTTGGTGGGGTTTGTGTTGCTCAATATTTGGTTTTTTATCAAGTGTTTTGGTGGGGTTCGTGTTGCTCAATATTTAGTTTTCTATCAAGTGTTTTGGTGGGGTTCGTGTTGATCAATATTTAGTTTTCTATCAAGTGTTTTGGTGGGGTTCGTGTTGCTCAATATTTAGTTTTCTATCAAGTGTTTTGGTGGGGTTCGTGTTGCTCAATATTTAGTTTTCTATCAAGTGTTTTGTGCGCCTTTTCGTTTTTCTTTTCTTTTCTTTTCGCCATTGTGTTGTTGTCTGTCTTTATTCGATTTATGTTTTTTGGTTAACCCTTGGTATATTATTTCTTTTTTCATCCCGGCACCCCTAAGGCACCAAAATTGTTGCACTGGACTCAATTAAGCATAAACATATGGGTTTATATGAAATAGTTTTACTAATCATTTGTGCAGGTAAATTTACATCTTGAACGTTGCATGTTTATTCATAGATCTGTAAAATGTATATATATAATAATCGTGAAATTACATAGGATCATTCTTGCTCGACTGGTTTGTTACGATCTGTGTATTATATATGAAGTGTGGGTGGGTACATTTCGGTTATAAATTTACGGATATTATACAAAGTCCTAATTTATGACTCGCCATTAAAAATATTTTATAAAATATACCCATCAAAAGAGATATTAAACTTTACTACTCAGAGCACATTTTAAAGCATATATATAGCATTTCTGCAACAACTGAACGGATGTTGAAAAAGGATAAAATTCAGGATTTCTAAAATAAAACTTTGTTGTATACATGTAACTGAAGATGTAATGTGAATGAAATCACACACACACATATTATATATATCACCTTTTTTAGCCACTATTTCATCATTCTTTAGTTCTCTGATCTCTGGTAACATAACAATTGAGGTATAGATTCCACCGATGATAAACAAACATGGTTCTACCAGCCAAAGATTTTTATAAGGTGAGGTATCCATAAAGAACAAAACCACGTTGGCTGCTGTATTTACCGTTCCGACACCCAGCTGTAAAGATAAAACAATAAACCAGTAAAATACTATGTTTAGTTGTAAAAAAAAGTCGCTCAAAGTTTGGCAGCTAATTAACCAAATAACATTTTTTTCCAGCATGATTTAATGGACATTTTAACACATGTTTTACAAAAAGAATTGTAGCCATGTCGGTCGTTCGACGATAACGTCAGAAAAATTATTGCAGCTAAGTGAGGTTTAAATTGGAATATTGGTTTCAGATAAATAAAAAGTTAACGGACGGGTAGACGACAGACACTAAGTCATTGCAACAGATTTTGATCTATCACACTAGACGGAGACGAGTAAGATGCATTAAGTCCGAGATAAACAAAAATCTGATAGGTCCATTTTAACTTGAGGAATTCAACACATTTCTTAACAGGCATCAGGCTTCATTGAACGAGCCGTGAGTCACCATTAAAAAGACCAGACTAGCAACATAAAAGTGTGCATACATTAAAAATAAGATTCTCCACAGACATATATTATATAAATGTGTGCATTTGTTTTCTAATTGCTCGCATTATTATATAACCAGAAAGCTTTCTATAATTTAAAAAAAAAATAAGAATTCCTACCACAAAAACAGCAGCATTATCAAAACTATCACTCCATTGTTTTCTCATGGATTTGATGTCTAACTTCGCCCGGCTCTTGACTTCTACCACAGAAATATACACCGCTGTACCCGCCAGGAGGCCACTCGCAGCCACTGCAATACTTTTCAACCCTTCCTGAAGTGTGGGTAATTCTAACGCCATTTTTTGTTGAGGTGTGTTAAAAGATAACTACTAGACTGTAAAACTCAATTTGTATTGCTTCTATTTTTATAATTAAATGGAGTAAATGACCTATATCTGTTCAAGGGCATTTATTCTTGATAACACTGGTCGATACAGTAGTGCAATATGATTGTATTCTTAAATCATCATGAATGATGAAATTAAATCGTTTATGTCATTCAGTTCAAAAAATAGAATAATAATTTAATAACCTATTTCTTGCGTTTCATGTTTGTTTGTAGCTCTTTAGAATCAGCGTGTCTTGTTGTTATATATATAAAGACTAGGAATGTTAAAGTAAATTTAAATTAGGTATACCCAAACATTACACAGGTTAGGGAAAAAGGGGGAGGGGTTGAGCGTTCACAACCGTGCTCAACCCCGCCACATTCTTTATATGTCTGTCCCAAGTCAGGACCCTGTAATTCAGTGGTTGTCGTTGGTTCATGTCTGTCATATTTGTTTTTTGTAAATTGTATTGTTGTAAATCAAGTCGTTAGTTTTCTAATTTAAATTGTTTCAAATTCTTCTTGTCGGGACATTTTATAGCGAACTATACGGAGGGTTTTTTCCTCATTGTTGAAGGCCGTTCGGTGACCTATAATTGCTTCATATCGTCGTCATTTGAACTTTTATGGATAGTTAAAGCATTGGCAATCATACCACATCTCCTTATTTTTATATATTTTGTCAAACAAGAAACGCATCACCCTATTGTAGACCCAGTTGTAGTTTAAATTATATATAGTTTAAATTGGAAAGCTTCTATAATTTACTGGAAATCAATATAAAGCTGGTGGCGAAAATTCCATTTTTTCAAACAACACCAGAAGTTTCTTCTTAAAATGTCATACATCTAAAGTTCGAGATTTGGCATTTTCAGAATAATGACTGCTTTTTAAGAATGTGTATAGAAAACAGAAATCATTTTTTTTTTTCTATTTCCCTTCATAATTGAAGATTTTGAATTAAAAGGTTGAAGTTTCCTCAAAACTTTCAATTTTTTGTGTAAAAACCTGGTTTTTTTTAATAGAATTTCAGAATATCTTTATATTTACATAATTTGTTTTCCTTTCGGTAAAATATGCAAAATATTCAGTCACTGAACCATGACTAAAGGTACAGAGCCAAATAATTTCCATGGAAATATTATAAGCAAATGTGCATACAGTTACATACAAAATATCATTGACTTATCATAAGTGGTTCACATTAAAATGACCAAATCAGAAATTTTAACATGGCAACTATGCTGTTTCAAAGTCAATAGACCGTGACTGTGGGAGAATGGCCAAATAATTTCCATGGAAATGAGGTGTGTCAATGCTAAAACAACTGCATACCAAATACCATTGACTTTTCATAAGTGGTTTCCCTTAAACTGATCTAATCACCAACTTTAATAAATTGTTAATGCTGCTGCTCCCTCCGCCGAAAATAGCATACCTTAGTCTCGCTTTTTGACTCTGTCAAGGTTAGACAAAAATGTTCATTTAATGTCAGTTATTCCTATAAGGTCATAATCGGTTCCTCAGTCATCCAATGGTTTCAGTTATATGGGATTTTTGTAGATCTTGTATTGCTGAAAATTTGGACATTTGCGATTTCTACCCTTCTATTATATTTTTCAATATACTGGCAAAAACACAAAATTAATTCATAAATCTACATTTAAGGGCAATTACTCCTTATGGACTTTTTCCAATTGTTGTATTGACATTTTTGTAGATCCTGTGTTGCTGTTTTAATACAGTTTCTACTATCTAATATAGATTTTTAGCTAACAAGCAAAAACATGAAAAATAGCAAAACAATTGTCTTTTAAGGGCAAAAACACATTAGACAGTCTTCTGAAAATTTAGGAAAAATCAGTGAGTAGGTAGATCTGGACGTTCTAATCATATATTGCCCTTGTCAGATTTTCTCTATCTTTTATGGTTCTCAAGATAATTTATGCATATTACCCCTATGTTCTATTTTTCGCCATGATTACCATGTCTGTTGACTGACCAGGATACACTATGGGTCATTCAGGCCAAGTTTGGTTGAAATTGGTTCAGTAGTTGCATAGGATCTTTTAAAAAGTTTACGACAACAGATGTCAGTCACCAAGTGTTGGCAAAAGTTTCCATGGCCTTTAAGGCCAGGTGAGCTAAATATGTGATGACAATCTTGAATATCCTTATTTTCTAAATATCAATAATCATATCTTCATCACATTTTTAGATGAAGAGCTTTTGATAAACAAGAGGCTCCCAAGAGCCTGAATCGCTCACCTGTAATTTTTTGCTTAAATCTTTCATCAATGATTATTTTTGCTTTTTAATGTATATTAATGAGTGGCTTAAAAATTCCATTGAGATGTTCTTTGAATCTGTCATATTTTCTTCAAAAAAAAGAAATACATTTTACCCCTATGTTCCATTTTATCCATAGTGGCTGTTTCTTGACGTACAAGAAAATAAAATACAAAATTTATACTAGATACTCTGAAACTCATTCAGCCCAAGTTTGGCTGAAATTGATTCAGCAGTTTCAAAGGAGAAGATTTTTTAAAGTTAGAAAACTAGATGAACAAATTGTGAAAAATTGTCTTTAAAGGGTAATAACTCCTTAAGGACATATTTGACAATTTTGGTCATATAAACTTATTTGTAGATCTTACTTTGCTGAACATTTTTGCTGTTCACAGTTTATCTTTATCATTTAAACTATTCAAGATAATAACCAAAAACTGCAAAATTTCCTTAAATTTACCAATTTAGTGGCAGCAACCCAACGATGGGTTATTAGATTCATCTGAAAATTTCACCTAATGAACATGTTTACCCCATGTCAGATTTGTTCTAACTCCTTTGGTTTTTTTAGATATAAGCCAAAAACTGCATTTTACCCCTATGTTCTATTTTTAGACATGGTGGCCATGTTTTTTGACGAAACAGAATATAAAACACAAACTTTATTCTAGATACCCTAAGGATCATTCAGCTTAATTTTTGTTGGAATTTGTTCAGTGGTTTCAGAGGAGAAGATTTTTTAAAGTTAAAAAAAATGATAAACAAATTATGTAAAATTTTCCTTAAAGGGCAATAACTCTTTCAGGGGTCAATTGACAATTTTGGTCATATTAAACTTATTTGTAGATCTTACTTTGCTGAACATATTTGCTGTTTACAGTTTATCTTTATCATTAATACTATTCAAGATAACCAAAAACTGCAAAATTTCCTTAAAATTACCAATTTAGTGGCAGCAACCCAACAATGGGTTATTAGATTCATCTGAAAATTTCAGGGCTGATAGAACTTCACCTAATGAACATGTTTACCCCTGTCAGCTTTGTTCTTACTCCTTTGGTTTTTTAGATATAAGCCAAAAACTGCATTTTACCCCCTATGTTCTATTTTTAGCCATGGCAGCCATGTTTTTTGACGAAACAGAAAATAAAACACAAACTTTATTCTAGATACCCTAAGGATCATTCAGCTTAAGTTTGGTTGGAATTGGTTCAGTAGTTTCAGAGGAGAAGATGTTTTAAATAGTTTACACCAGACAGACGACAAGGACGGACGCCAAGTGATGGCTAAAGCTCACAGTTCCTTTCGGAACGGTGAGCTAAAAAGATAAATGCCTATTGTTGAAAACTTAATGTTGATCTCTTGATGTCTTTTTGGTTATCTGTGTGTTGGGTTGCTGTCTCATTGACCTCTACCCCACATCTTCTTTTATTCATAGGCTATGTAATGGTCAAATATAATTAGGGATAACTTCAGGATAAGATTCCTATCAATGTATTATTCAGTATTGATTTGTATAAAATGACCATGGCCATATGCGTGCTGGTTGATTGACAATGTTCAAGGACTCAGAAAATAAAATATGTGTAGATTTGGTTGAGGCATGTCCAGGGATCCCATACTACTAATTCTTTCTCAAAAGTTGCTTTCATTTTTGTCTACTGTGATATTTTTTATCAAGTAATAAATGTACAAGTACAAAATAGATAACACAAGATTGAGATTTCACATGATTTAATAAAACATACGAGAGTGTTAACACATCACACTACACATTATAACAATAATACATTAGGCTGCCCTAAACATGCAACTCTCTTTCATCTAATCCAAGGGACGTAATCAATGTCAAAACTTTAAAAAAGAGGCTTCAAAGTGCCTGTATCACTAAACTGGTATCTAAAAAAAAGGTCAAGAATGGCCCATTCTCAGTCCAATTAGTTGAAATTTAGTATTAACTGGCCCTTCATAGGATTTTCCTTTTTTATTTTTTTATATAATTATCTAGTTTTTAAAATGGTGGTAACCATAGTTTGGATGACCTTGACCTGTCATTTGGTAGGGCCAGTCGAGCTTAAAAGGGCAAAAGATATTCACTCTGTAAAATTTAGACTTCACTTGAGAAAAAAATCTTCTTGGATTACATGAATATCCTATTAAATAACTCCATTAAGAAGATAAACAGCATTTTACTTTTCATAAGAATAAAAGTTCCACATGTGAGCTAACATATATTCTATAAATTACACTCTCCCACTCAATAAATACATGATTATAGTGTGATGGTTCTTAGTGAAATTTTAACCAATTTATTTGGTAAGGGGTTTTTGGATTTGGTAAATTGTAACTTAACTCATTCATAAAATGTGTAAATAATATGTATTCTATTAAACTGAAATATGTTGAACTTTCCCTTACTTCAAATTACTTGTAAACAATTCTTATACCATGTAAAGCCAAAGTAATTTGATAGAATTCATCAGTTCTAAAGGCAATGACTATACAATATTAGCTGTTAGTCTGCAGTAAGATCTTGATACAGGAAATATACATAACTTTGAAAATGTGCATATTTTAACTATTTTCCTTATTTTAGGGGAGATAACTGGTATTTTTTTCTTTATTATCTCCCTTCAACAAATGTCATAATCACAACTAATAAGTTAACAAATAGTACTAAAAATTATTTACCACATAAAATAGCCATTTCACAGTAATAAATATTTTTATTACAATGTTTCTTTTTGCAACCATCAAACATGATGAAAACCATGAATATTTCATTGTCAATTATTACCATCCGAAATAATAAAAATTTGATTGTATTAGACATATGAAGAATGAGTTAATTTTATGAGTCATTCCCTTCTGTGTTTAATAACTTAATCATATGTGTATACTATTAATCAAATTCACATTTCCCTTCTCTATAAATAAACACTGAAAAACAAAAATCTACAAACAGATGTTAAAATATTTATATCTACATTGGTCATGCTTAAAAATCTATAAAATTACCACATTTGTATACAATTTACAATAACTTCAACAAAACAATTACTACTAAGGAAAAAAAAGGATTATGTTGGGAGTTGTACTTCTTCAAAATATGTTTGTGTTTAACCAATTAGTAATCATAGAAACAAATATTATCTATTGTATAATTTAGACAGGTTACATAAACAGCTTTCTCATATTCTGTTAGTGGCAGAAGAAAAACAAGAATTCCTTCATAAAATAATAAAAAAAATTCTTAAAAAAAAACAGAGTAAAAAAGAATGATTTTGGTCCTTTAAATTTTGATACCATGGTTAGTGAACATGCTGAAAGTGAAGGGTGACAACAATGTATCGTGACTACAAAAATGACAAAACCAAATGATTTTTTTCTGTAAAAAAATATATATACAAGTAAAAAAAATGAACTCTGATAATTCCTTATACCGGATGTTTGTAATCTAACAAAGTAGTGTTTTACAAATTGCACTCAATCCCAGTATATAGATAAGAATATTGTTAATTGATCAATTAAAGAGCTTCTATTATAAGTGTCTGGGTGATTCACACTGACCTTCAAAAATGACCAATGAGTGTTTTGTTTACACTTAAACACCTTGCATTGTACCATATGGTCATGTTAATATCCTCACAGTGATTTTATCCCTGAAAAAACCCTTACAAAGTCCTTACAAGAATTATCAATAAAACCAATCAATCTACAACTTTCTATATCAAACCGATTATATATCAAAAACCTAAATCCTGTATTATTTGACCAAGTAGTTGTAACTATTAAAGGACATTTTATATTGGTACAAATATTCAATGAAACCCCTGGATATGAATATATAAGAAATGTACTATTTATATTGATAATTAAAGTCCAAAGTCTAAACTCACAAATTCCAAAACCATTCTTATCAATCACTGAATTGAAATTTAAATATAAAATTCTAAAAAGTAATGACCTTGACCAACAGTCAAGAATCACTTCACTTTCTAAAAGTTTATGACCTTGTCCAGAGCCAACAAACATTTTGCTTTCTGAATAGTAATGACCTAATCCAATAGGGTCAACAATCACTTTTTTTATTTTTCGTTCTAAATAGTAATGGCCTTGTAGAAAACAGTCAACAATCATTTTTCTTTCTAAATAATAATCACCTTGTTCAACTCAGTCAAAACTGACTTCAAGAGATTTTTGTATTCATAATGGTAATTTGTGAACTTTAAAACACAATCTAACATATCCAGGGAAACATCGAATTACGAGAATTTACGAATTTTCCTTTTTTCTGAACAACAAATAAACATATATGATTACAATACCAGGTAAACAAAAGTTGTGAATACCAATTAAAAAGATATTTAACTGAATCAATATTTATAGTTTTATATAGTCTTAAAATCCGAAGGCTTATGGTGTGAATATCTGAAGATTTATTTTAACAGCAATGTTCTACCTATTCATTGGAACAAACATCAATTATGTACAGAAAAAAACACTCATTTCAAATTTAATTTACTATGTTAAGGAGTTTTCAAAGAGGAACATGCAGATTGAAAGGTTGACTTATTTAAAAAAAAGAAAAACTTTTCAGATAAAGAATTCATACTTAAACATATATTTTGTTCTATTTCAGACTACCCACAAATACAGAAAGTTTGTAGTTTGTATAATTAATGCAGGATTTGAAACAGAAAAAATGGATCTTTGTTTAAAAAAAAAAAAAAAAATTGTTAAAGATGTTAATTTGCAATGACATATATGATCTTTTTATTTTGAAGATTAATTTGCACCTTGTCAGCAGGGAAAGGTAGCACTTAACATCCTGGCAACCAAGGGGATAGAAAAATAAGACAGCTGTGGCTTGTCAATGAGTGGGGATTAAAAATAAAAGGTTAACAAAGAGAAGAGGAAAATCACATTATTCATTTCCACATACAAATAGAATTAAGCTGGTATATCAAAGTTTTTTTTTCAAATTAAGGTCAAACACCTTACATAGACAGTAACATTATAAATACTGAGATACTGAATGGATACCTGAATAACATTTGTAATAGAATCTCTTTATTCTGGTGAATTCTGAATCTGACTAAAATCATTAGGTTGTGGTATAGAAATACTGAAGGAAGTATCTCCTAACTTGAGACGAAGTTTTTTAGGAAATGAATGACTGTTAGATAGTGGATAAAAAGTGCTGGGAGCTATCGGTGATTTAGATGAATGTGTCGGTGAATGAGCGGAGTTTATTGGTGATCGTGGTGATGTTTTCCCAGAACTTCTCCGCCGTCGTCTGTGACAGCTTTGTTTCAACATGTGATTTTCTATCTGTATTTGAGATTCCAGTTCATCTTCTATTCGTTTTGCTGTGGACAGACTCTCCTCCATTGTTTCCAAAATGGGGTCTCGTCTCATTTTGATCGTCAGTTTTGGAATCTTTTTATCGGGAGATGTTTCCGGAGATGACATGATTGAATAAGACAATTTTCGTTTCTTTTCTCTATTCTTACTTTTGTTCAATAATCTAAGGCACTGATCGGAGTAAGATTTGTCAAATTTTTTATCACTGGGTTGTTGAGTCCCTAATTTTCTTGGAGGAGTTACATTTTTTATAATAGACTCAAAACTTTCAAACATATTATCAACTGGTTCCTGGTCAGATGTTTCATCAGCATCATCAGTTTTGTGATGTATTTCTGATTTTAATCTGTTCGCTAATGAATCTTCCTGTTGTTCATCTGAAAAACTACAAACATCTATAAAGTTTTCTTCTAACATTGTTAAACCTTCATCACTCTCTGATTTCACGTCTCGTTTCAATTTTTCTGACAAGTCTTTTGCTGCCTCAGGCTTTTCACATAGTGAACTTTCTGTGTCACGCTTCCTGTGAAGTCTAGGGCTCTGACGAACAGGTGCTTTCTTAGAAATATCACTTTGAATGTTTTTGAGTCCTTTGCTCTTATGATTTTGTCCCTGAAGTGTTTCTGAATTACTATGACTGAGAGGTGTTTCTATATGATCTTGACCTATGAATGAGTCTGTATGACCTGAACTTTGACCCTGAAGTGAGTCTGTATCACAGTGAAGCTCAAATGTCCCTGAAATTGATATGTCTAATTGTTCTGATTGTTGTTTTGATTCATCATCCTTTTCTTCCATTTCCAATTTTACATCTTGTTTTTTTGTTTCAGTTTTAGATATTAGCTTTGGACTATTTTTAACCTCTTGCTTTTCTTCACAAGGTTCAGTTTTAGGTATAAGCTTTGGACTAATTCTAAACTGTAACTTTTCTTCACAAGGCTCAGTTTTAGGCATAAGCTTTGGACTATTTCTAAACTGTGGCTTTTCTTCACAAGGTTCAGTTTTTACACGAGAAATTAAATCTTTATCTATGCTTACTGACCCACGACTTTTGAACCTAGGGCTGCACCTTTGATTGTTATTAGGGGAATGTTTTAGAACTGTATCCCTGTCCATTATTGAGTTGGTCCTTGAATCAGTTTTCCTAGATCTAGTCCTACATATAGATGGTGATGAATTCATATTTATATCAACATTTGTTTCATCGTTCTGATTAAGTGTTTTAGTTTCTTCCTGTTCAACAGTATCCTCACAAATTCTACAGGCCTGCTCCACTATAGAATCTAACTCTTCATGATCAAACTCAGGATGATCAAGTTCCTCAAAACAGAAACTCATTCTTTTATTTGGTGATTTAATTTTTGCTGCCACTTTAGGAATCTCTTCTTCACATTGTTGACTTGCCAGTTTTGATCCCGACATTCGTCCACATTTTAGAAAACACCCATTTTTGTCTCTCTGTGGTAACTTTTTTGACTGTGCCATTTTCAAATTAAGGTCATTTAAAACACTCTTTGATGATTTAATTGGCAATTTCCTAGTCACAGGTACCCTTGGTTCCGGAAGTTTTAGTCCCTGAGACAGTAACAGTTCAGCATCATAGCGAGTTATGCCCCTTCTTTTCAGTTCTCCAGCCTTCAGTAATTCAGCGTTTTTCTTTAGATTACCATCTCTGATATTCCAGTTTTCTGAAATATTATATTATTGTTTTATTCATATGAAACTAAACAGTTCCCTACATGTATTTTGTAATATACAACAATAAATAAATTAGTATGCATTGTAAATGCCAATCAGACTAATCATTGTCATTTCAGGGCCTTTCATAGCTGACTATGCAGTATTGGTTTTGCTCATTATTGAAAGCCTTACAGTGACCTATAGTTGTCAACTTCTATGTCATTTGGTCTCTGGTGGAGAGTTGTCTCATTGGCAATTATACCAAATCTTCTCATCTTTATAATGCATATAAATAGAATCAACCACTGCATCGAGTGTGATATGATATTTCTCCACTCAAGACAACTTAATTTTCAAATTTAGAACGCAACGCTTCCAAAGCATTTTAAATATCTAAAATTTAACTGTCTAAGTTTCTCTTAATGAAATAGACGATATGCAGACAAACTGAATCCCTCTTTTCCAATGATCTGCAAAAAGATGTGTTTTTTCTATGTGACGTCATCAGACATGGCTATCTTTTTTCATGACATCACAATAGGAAATTCAGAGGGAAGCAAGAAAATTTGACATGTTAATTAAATTTTGATCAATGAAGAACTGAGTTCAAATGAACCACACGTTGATTAAATGAAAATAATCAAACAGATCAGGAAAGGATAAATCGGCTAACAATTAGAGAAATTTAAAAATCCAGGTCATATTTATTAATGCAAATGATTTACTAATTTTTTGTTGACTCTGAATTGCATTTTATAGTAAAAAATTACTATTCTTCCATCCAGGCAGCAGTTAGTTAATCAGAGATGTGATCTCAATTCACGTAATCTATTCTATATAATTTACCATTGCCATACAGAGCAGCACCTGTCATTTGTGCACTTGGCCTTTCACGCTCCAGAGGGTCGGATTTTAGTCTGGTAAGTCTATCATCTGTGTCTCGGAGTCTATAACCTTTTACATGTTGTGGACTTTTTATTCCATCTTTAGGCTTAAATGCTCCTTGTTTTCTCCTGTGTCATAGAAAGTTAATAAATTAGAGAATACATAGATTTACAAATGTAATAAAACTTACCAATATAGTTTATAGAAGTAACATGACGGATGTCACATATGGAGCAGGATCTTCTAACCCTTCCTGAGCACCTGAGATTGTTTCTGGTTTTTGTTGTATTTTGTAGACTTTTGTTTTGTCTTTTGGTTGTTTTTCGTTTATTTTGCCATGGCATTGTCAGTTTGTCTTCGATTTATGTGTTAAATATCTCTTTGTTATCTCCCCCTCTCTTATTTAACTCTCTTACTGAGAGAATTGTTTTTCCAATATAATTTTTCCTTTCAATACAATGTTATTTCATTTTTTTTATATATTGCTTACTCATAACAACATTTTACATATTAAACATACATATATTTATACTAAAAATTTAAAAGATTCTAGGATAAAAAAAAAATTCTTCATTAACACGCTGAACATGCTGAATACATAAGACAGTTGCTAAAAGCGACAATTGAGACTAGACGTAATGCCAATAAACTGATAAAATCTGGAATATTGCTATGTGTTTCTTTATTCTACATTGGCTAGAGGTATAGGGGGAGGGTTGAGATCTCACAAAACATGTTTAACCCCGCCGCATTTTTGCACCTGTCCCAAATCAAGCCTCTGGCTTTTGTTAGTCTTGTATGTTTTTTAATTTTAGTTCATTTATATGTTTTGGAGTTTAGTGTGACGTCCATTTTCACTGAACTAGTACACAATTTTATTTAGGGGCCAGCTGAGGACCACCTCTGAGTGCGGGATTTTCTCGCTGCGTTGAAGACACATTGGTGGCCTTCGGCTGTTGTCTCTTTGACATATTTCCCATTCCCATTCTCAATTTTATACTACTGCCACAATGCATGAAACTAACATTCCAAGGGAGGTAACAAATGTTTATATGCATCATTTCTATTTTACAGTTTAAAAATATGAGTATTTTTTTTTGGAAAAAGAAAGTAATACATTTTGTTCTCTATAACTGACAGTTTCATAGAAATGTATCTTGGTGTCTAACACCACATATGTATATTTATAACAGAATAACATTTTTTTATTAATTTCAGTGGATGGATCCAATAAGAAAAGATTCTTTTTACATAATTGAATGATCTGCCAAACCATATTTAATACTTAATCTTTGAATATGAGTTTAAATAAATAGGTTTTCGTATAACTTACCTTTCACAAGTTTCACATTCACAGAAGCAATTGCTTTCTCCGAAGAAACTTTCTCCATAATGACATGTGATTTCTTCCCCAGGCTCAATGTCTCTTAAGACTCTCACACAGGCTGTATCTCTACCAGTGGATACGAACTGTACAGATAAATTAATATATCATATAATTCTATTCTATAATTAGATATAACAGAACAGTTTGTAATATAAAATTCTTGTACAGCTGAATCAATATATTTAATAGCCTATGATCAGGTCCGGAGCCAAGTGACAATAGTGACGGACAAAGGTTGTAGCAGCATCATATTCATATCCTGCACTTAACAAAAGTGGCAGTTTGTCATCCTACATTGTCCTATGGCCTTCTATAGCTGACTATAAGATATGTATTTTGTCTCATTGTTGAAGGCTTTACAGTGACTTGTAGTTGTTCACATCCTTGCCCTTTGGTCTTTGAAGGATAGTTGTCTCATAGGCAAACATACCATAAATATTTATTTTTATATTGACAAAGCTAGAAGGACCTCCAATACATACCCTGCAGTTTGATCGACAATCGTGATTGACAAAGCTGGCAGGACCTAACCAGAGCTGGCTACAGTTTTTCCTAGTGGAGTACATTACACTGAAGTCATTTAGTCCTGGTTTCAGTAGCTGCTCCTCTTCTTCTGCATCCAGTTCAGCGATACATCCAACTAAATACTCAATTTTATCATTCTTTTGCCTGTTTTATAGAATTGGAAATGAAAATCTGCCTGACTATTACATAACTTAAACTAACATGTCACATAGGGTCCAGCTTAGAATGGCTAGAGACAAGAACATTTATATAACCATAGGAATATAGTAAATTTTTCTGTAAAGTTATTTTCAGGTAAAAACTTACTATAAAGCTTAATGAATACATGTTGTAATAGTGACATGTAAAATCAAGTCTTCTTATTTAGTATCCACCCCAATAAAAGATAACTCTTTTAAAAATTCTGACATAACAAAACAAGAGTGACAGACCCTCCTGGGTAGTCAAAGTCTTTAAGCACTGGTGGTAGTACATGTAGAAGTAGTATGAAAAGATCAAAATTAAATAATTGCTTCTGTGTATTGTTTTGTAGGTGGTTGTTCTGTTATTGTCTATTTCTCTGGGTTTGTTATTGTCTGTTCTAGTTCAAATTTACAGTTTCCAATTATCTCCCTTAGATCACATTTCTTACCAAGATTTAGTTGCACAAATTTTTGCTCCTACTTCATTTTCCATGGAGTAACGATGACATGGCAGAATTTCAAATCCAGAATCTTTGTCAAACATCCTTAAATATCTGAACAACTGGAAAAACAAAAATAAAGTTATAATACAGGAATGTACAAATGTAATTACTACCTTTGTCAGACATTCTAATACACAGGTTTCTAAATATTTGTAAAATATTGTCCATCTGAAATCAATAAATAGCTAAAAGAGTTCAACAGATTTTCCACAAGAATTCACCAAATTGGCAACTAAATACAAATTTTGCTAAATTATAAGTATTTTTTGGTTTCCATCAAGGAGGTTGCCATTTTTCAGTTTAGTATGAAGTTACTGCTATAACTTACATGATCTTTGACTATAACTTGTTGTGACTTAAGTTTAGTGACAAAAAATGACTTGACAGGAGCTAAAGCAGAAAATTCTCTGTAGGCCTTTTCATAATTCTGTTTCTCCACAAATCTTTTCATTATTTCTTTACAAGATTGCTGAAGGTCTGTTTTCATTGGTCTGTGTCTGAAAATTATACAAAATATGTTAAATGTACATGATATATAAAAGAACATTTAATGTTGGTCATCAGCTACAGACAAATGCACACATCTACATAAAATCTCAACTGTTCACTTCAGGTTTAATCACTGATTCAAAAGCCCCCCCCCCAAAAAAAAATGTATGTGTGTTTAAGATTTCACTCACAACCCCTCATTTTAAGTTCTGACCCTAAAGTTTTTGTAAGGATTTCTCCAACACATCAGTTGTTGTAACTGCCAACTTAGTCTATCAAAATAGCAGACAGAATTGATGAAAACCACATTATTTATTCGTCACTTTATTCATTGACAAATTAAAAATGGCAAATTGCAAACTTCATGTAAACAATATATATATCTGTAATACTGGAATTGAATTTGGTGGGCTTTTCCCCTTGTGACCGAAAAAGGGACAAGATATCAGCTTATTGAACCTTTAACTTTTGAACAAGAAACCATCAAAAGATATGCGTTTTGCCTATTATTCTAGATAAAGTTCCAGGGATCTGTTTCAAGTTTACTTAGTGTCGATCATGACATTGAGATATTTCAACCTGAATTCCAAAATTTTTTTGGTTATTTGACTCTGATAGAAATGAACCAGGACTTGACAAACCTAGATCAACTTACCTCGAGTTCATTTTATGTGTGGTTAAGGATAGAATGAACCAGGACTTGACAAACCTAGATCAACTTACCTCAAGTTCATTTTATGTGTGGTTAAGGATAGAATGAACCAGGACTTGACAAACCTAGATCAACTTACCTCAAGTTCATTTTATGTGTGGTTAAGGATAGAATGAACCAGGACTTGACAAACCTAGATCAACTTACCTCGAGTTCATTTTAGGTGTGGTTAAGGATAGAATGAACCAGGACTTGACAAACCTAGATCAACTTACCTCGAGTTCATTTTAGATGTGGTTAAGGATAGAATGAACCAGGACTTGACAAACCTAGATCAACTTACCTCAAGTTCATTTTAGGTGAAGTTAAGGATAGAATGAACCAGGACTTGACAAACCTAGATCAACTTACCTCGAGTTCATTTTAGGTGTGGTTAAGGATAGAATGAACCAGGACTTGACAAACCTAGATCAACTTACCTCGAGTTCATTTTAGGTGTGGTTAAGGATAGAATGAACCAGGACTTGACAAACCTAGATCAACTTACCTCGAGTTCATTTTATGTGTGGTTAAGGATAGAATGAACCAGGACTTGACAAACCTAGATCAACTTACCTCGAGTTCATTTTATGTGTGGTTAAGGATAGAATGAACCAGGACTTGACAAACCTAGATCAACTTACCTCGAGTTCATTTTATGTGTTGTTAAGGATAGGTAGGGATCCAGCGTCAGACTTGAAGCCAAGTCGTCATTTTCACACAGTTCCTTGGAGGTCATTCCTGTGGATGGTGCATACCTCCCTCCTCCTTCCACAACCATGATGCTAAAAATAAACACACTTTTTTATAAGTCAGAATAAGCACATTGTTTCATCAGTCTGTTCCCATTGATAATCCTGGAACAAACAAGCACTTTTTGTACATGGGAATTCTGGTTAAGAACTTGGCATTTGTGTATTAATTCTTAAAAATCTTATTTCTGCCTCTATGCATGTGGTAAACATGTCTCATCTTATTAAGGAAATACTCAAACTTCTTAAACACACTAATGAAAATCAAGCTTTTTTCAACTCTCATGTACAAAGGTCGAATGAAATTGTTTTGAATCGGACACTTGATAAAGAAGGAAACTGAAAGTTCAAATTACTTCCTGGATAAAATATTTGATTGTTTCTATATTTATCTTCTGACAGCAAAGTTATTTTCAGAAGTTTATCTCTACAATATAAAATTATACATACAATCTTTACTGTAAACAGTAAAGATTGCCTGTATAATTTAAATATTTTACATGTACATTAATAAAGACATTTAAATTAAAAAAAAAAAAAAAAAAAAAAATGGAAGTCTGATTAAGCTATGTATGTTTTACATGTGATATAAGATAAGAAAGAGAGAATTACTCTATGAAGAAAAAAAAACCCAGCTGGTTGCTTTCTTTTTTTAAAACAATTAAATTACAGCACAAAATTATCTTTTTAACCCCTTTTCACGAGTTTCATTTAAAAAAATTCTTTTTCACTGCCGCAATAATCAATACAAATGTCCTTCAATTACAAAGTATTAGTTCATTTTATCTTTAATGTCAATATCTAAAATATATATAAATAAATGTTCTGTCTAAACTAATAGTTCTTATTATGAATCCTCATATTCATCATTTAAGTTCCAGAACTGCCAATGACTGGCACACATGACATTCAGACACTTGGCAGCAAATACGATTTTACAATTACTTGCCAGCCAATAATGAAACTGTAAGCAAATGAAAACAAATTATCATTAAATGTTAGTTTATTTGATAACTTTATCATGTTCATGTAACAAAATATGATTTGGACACATCCAAATTCACTTTGTCAATTATATATTTGTAAACTGAATTCCTAATTCACATTTAACATGACATAAAAAGAGCCCTACTCCCATTCAAACAGAAAAATTTTGAGACAGGAAATCCGAAAATTTCTTTCCCAGATCCAATATATATTGAAAACTTCTTTGAGTTATACATTTATGTTTGACATTTAGGACCAGAGGTTCATTCAGCCTCAGTTGAACTAGCATGGGAGAAAAACATATTGTCAGGCCAAATAAAAGTATATGTATGGTTCCAGTTACCCGACCCACCCTAGCTTAAACCCCCCCCCCCTAGAACTTTTTTTTTCCATTTCTGAAAAATAATTTTAGAACGATCCCATTTTGTGGAATGTGAATTTCAATAATTAAATTCACAGACTTCTGTCATCTGAATTTTCTTTAGAAGTATCCATTATGGCTAAAAATGCAACAAATTTTTAACAGAATGCAACAAAATTACCTAGAACAATAACATGTCTGTTTATTTTACAACCAAACATATAGAAAATGGTGAACTTCTGGTAGGGACTTGTATAATACTGGAATCCGACTCAGTGAACACACATGTATGATATTATTAAAAAAAATAAAATACTCTTGAAATTTATTGTAAATTATGTTAAGATTTTTAGTTTTCCTAGCATGCACCTTCTTACATTCTTCTACTTTTTGAAATTAAGAAGTTTCCTGTAGCTGTGGATGCAGTTACATATTGACACTACTACATGGTTAAAGGGAAAAAGGTCACAAGAAAAAAATCCCACATTTTATAAATGTACATGTAGGGAAAAAAGTCACAAATCTGATAGGAAATGCTTACATTTCGTACAGTAAAATGCTTTAAAATATTGAATAGAATGTCATTTCTTTTCACTTTCTTAAAAGTTATAGGGAACTTTCATTGGTAATTAATTGACATAAACTTAAAAAAAATAAAACAATGATTTCTTTTAAAGGTTTTAAAGGTTTCATAATCTGTCCAGACAGAGGATTGACAGGATATGTAAATAAAGAGTTGAAGACATTGGATTATTTTATATTAACGTCTTCTGTTAATGTTAAATTGTTATATAAACTTGACATTGTTATAAAAATCAGCAGACATATACAAAACCACATATTATTTGAATTCTTTCAATTTCCTACTCATTAAAAGCTGTTGCATTATTCTGAACACAATTTCAAATAAATTGCTTGTGACTTTTTTCCATAAATCAGAAACATATACCAGTAATACAGATATGTTTCTGCCTACGTGCAATTGAAAAACTCTTAATATATAAATATATATCTAAAAATTTAATACACATACCAAATTTGCTATTTTGTTCTTATAATTGTGACTATTTCCCCTACAACATTCTAATATCTAGCTCATAATGTAGTAAGAGTTATTTCCCTTGAACTATAAAATTTTTTGAAAAAGGTTTACCTTCGTAGTTTTTCTTGGTGTGACTGCATATGTAAATGCACAACTGAAAATTGTGTCTTGGGCTGCATGCAATATTGCATTTTTTATAGCTTATCTGCCATGAAGGTTTTTTGCATTGTCCAAAAATGTTTCCTGGCTGCAGGCAAAACAAAGACCATTTTCTCTTGCTACAGCCAGCGTATTTCCTTGGGAATAATCAGTGGGAAAGTGTGACTGCTATAGAACTTAAAAACAGTTTACTTTGCTTATAACTTACATTATTTGAAGCTCTTTACCTGTTTTTAGTTTACAAAAGTAGTCGCTTTAGAAAAATGTACTGTTGTTCGGTCATAATCTTCATTGCGCATAATATAGTTCTAAATTTTTTTTTTATAGAAATACATGTTTTGCGCTTATTTAGCATGTGATATGACAAAAAGTTTAATCAATCATTGATTTTTATAATGGTCAGTTTGTTTTGTCCCTGAGAACGATTAATGATTACTACTCGTAGTAATTTTAAATGATCCAAAAATGCAAATCGGTCCTTATTGACAAGGGAGATCACTCTAGATTTTCAGAGCTGCACCATGTCTAATTCGATGTGGCGAAAACTGCAGAAAAAAATAGATAATGAGACATGTCAACCAACAAGCCGTTATTTAAAGTATTGAAATATTCTATCTACATCAAAACACATATTTTGAAGTAACCAAACTAAATTTATGTGCTGAATTAGCTGTTTATATGTGATGGCAAAAATAAATTAATTAAATAAAAATAAAATCTGCGACTATTAATATTATACCTGAGATTATACTAACGTTATAATAGTCCCAGATAAAATGTAACACACAGTGTGTAAACAAAACTTGTATTGGTAAAGGCTGTAACATAATTATATTTGTTGAAACTATTTAAAAGTATGAACAGTAAATAAGATTATTAAATATGGAAATAAGAATGTTATTTAAGCATTATTAAGTTAAATTCTAGTCACTTCAGCACCTGGTTAAATCAGCACCAGGTCAAATCGGCACTCAGTATAGTCGGGTAGTTATTTCGGCACCCATGACTTAAGTATTATGTTTTGCAAAGTAAACTATTGAAGACTCCCTTTTTCATACTTTTTAAGATATTTCCCTTAAGGTGTCAACCTATATTTGTCACGCATAACAGAAGTTCCAATGGAAACTTTGTTATAAAAAATGTTGTAACATCTGTTCCTACTGGAACTTATATTATCAAGGTACTTCCATTTCATGACAACTGCTTGTACAATTGCTACTAAACATACAAAATCGGTGCCAGCGTTATTCAATTTATATAAGAGGACAGGTAATGCAGAAAAAAACAATTCAAATTACAATGATTAAATTTGTTTTTATCCTCATATGTGGATTAAACAATAGCTTGGGTGATGGCTTCTCTGTTTAATCTAAGTTATTTCTATTTATAAAACATCAAAAACTACCTGAAAATGGTTAAAACAACAAGTGGGTTATTTTTTATTGTGTATTCTAACTGCTTAATTACAATTGTGTGCTTGGTTTTTTTAACGATGTAGGAAATGTATCTTTCCGATTAACCTTGGCAATTGTAAGTTTTGCTAAACAAAATATATAAAAAAAGCAAAAAACTATTCTCCCCATATCTCTAAAAAAAATTAAAGAAATAAGGTAAAAAATAAATATTTGGTGCCAAATTGACTACAAACAACATGAACACAATAGATAAAAAAAAAACAAAAAACTATTCTCCCCTATCTAAAAAAAAAATAGAAAACAAAAAAGGTAAAAAAAATATTTGTTGCCAAATTGACTAACCAAATGCCAAAATGACTTTAAATAGGTGCCGATTTGACCAGGTGCTGATTTTACTTATTCTATAGGTGCGGATTTGACATAAACCCATTAAATTGCAATTTCTGAATATTCTGTACACTGAAGATTGAAAGTCTGTTTAGAATTGATGTATGACTGCTGTGGTCTTTTCCGTAATGATATGAAAATAATTGTGGTCACAATACTCTTTCGCTGTATAAATCATTGAAATCTGACTGGTGTATGAAAAAACAGGTTTGCCACATGATAGTGCATGTTCCAATTTTTGCCCTTTGGATGCTTTTTGTAATTTCTCTACGAAACCAGTCTAATTGATTTCTTCTAAAAAATGAATCCTGTAATCCCATATAAATTTAATATTAAGAATCACTTTTAAAGAAAAATTACATTCTAAGTTACATTCATTTTCACCATTTCCGACTATGGGCAACAAAACAAATTATTTGGACACCTGTCTAGTTTTGCTTGCATTGACCTCTTTGTGTCTCTTGAATATATTCGAAGTTGGGTTGCTGTCTCATGGTGAATTTCAATCATATTAAACTACTGATAGTTTACTTTATTATTTCTTTCTTACAGGTACAAAATAGCAGAAAGTCAAGGTAAGATTATATATTGTACATATGAAAATAAAAAGATGTGGTATGACTGCCAATGGGACAACTCTCCACCAGAGACCAAATGACATAGAAGTTTAACAACTGTAGGTCACAGTACGGCCTTCAACAATGAGCAAAACCCATACGGCATAGTCAGTTATATAAGGCCCCGAAATAACAAATGTAAAACAATTCAAACGAGAAAACTTAACGACCTGATTTATGTACAAAACAAATATGATATACAGCAACAAACAGCAACTACTGAATTACAGGCTCCTGACTTGGGACAGGCACATAGAGAATGTGGTGGGGTTAAACATGTTTGCGGGCACCCAACCCTCCCCTGACCTAGGATAGTGGTTTAACAGCACAACATATGAACAAACTATAAAAATCAGTTGAAAAGAGCTGTACTCATCAGATCTATACAAAGCAGAAAAACAAATAACAAAAGCACAGATCGGATGTTGCAGGGTATTTATACATCCCCACAACAAAAAAGACACTAATTACAGATCTGAGATTACCCGCAGTTACTGACAGCTGGTTCAAAGCCAATAACAACTTATAAAAAAATCATGTATCTAAGACTAAAATATCAATCAGTACACATCCAATATCCAATGGATTTAGTGTAAAGATGTCATTAACAGTCAAGAGAAAAACATGACCTTGTGCAATGCCAAAGTACAGGTATCGGCAGTTGTAGAACCGTGAATGTGCATATGTATATAACAATAATATTAGTTTGGTTTTAATTAACTGATACCAAAATCAATATTAATACCAATAAAAACAATATTCAAAGATCTTTTCATGTTTGTCAGAGAAGCATTGTATTTTTGTGAGATAACCAAGGTAAAGCCAAACGTTCATTGTGTGTTTGTCAGAAAACTAAGGTATGTAGCAATGGTTTGACATAACATACAGGAAAAGTTCATGTTGGATAGATAGAAAGAATAACTGTTAACCAAAGGTCTTGTAGGCTGATAAAAAATGTATCTGCTATATTTATCTTTGCCACTGTTCAACTCTTAAAGGCGAAAATAACTCAACCATGTTCTAGGAACAAGGAAATATTTGAATCTGGAATAATTTTGAATTCTGGAAAATGTATGATGAAAACTAACCTAACTAAATAGGGTAAGCCATGATGTGCATATGGCAAATGGGGTTAGTTAGTTCATACTGAAATATCAGTGAAAGTAAGCTGAACCTTAGCCATGCATGCATGGCCAACCCTATTTAGTTGGGTTAGTTTTCATCATACATTTCTTATCAATTTTCCAGAATTCAAAATTATTCCATATTCAAATAATTCCTTGTTTAGGTTAGAATTTTGAACATTATAGTCATAAAAAACATGATGACAATAACATCATTAAACAAAGCTTGATTTATGTGTTAACTTTTGAATGTGATTCACCATTGTTTCATGATGGAAAAGTTTTTATTATGTATTTCATAAAATGTTCTCAAAGATCATGTAGAAGAAACAGGATAGTAAAGAAAGTGTTACAATTAAAAGAAGTTTTACAAGATTAAGTTGTAGTATTCAAATACTGCGGATTCCTAATTATATGTGGTATTCTAATTTTTGTCTAGCCTGCGGAAGGCGAGACATAGGGATTGCTTTTCCGGTGATGGCGACGGCTTCGATGACAGCGTCAACAATTGTTAAATTTTCTGCTTAAGTTAGTTTGATAGGAACTACTTGTGATAGATCATTGATATTTTGTATGAAAATGCATTACTATCAGTACATATCAGTTTGATGACAATTTTGAGGCCCTGCCCCCTAGGCCATGGTCCAGTGACCTTGAATTAACTAGCAATTTTAAATGTTAAGTTTTCTGCTTAAGTTAGATTGATAGGAACTACTGGTGATAGATCAATGATATTTTCTATAAAGTTGCATTACTATCAGTTCATATCAGTTTGACAACTATTTTAAGGCCCTGCACCCTAGGTCATGGTCCAGTGACTTTCAATCAATTAACAATTTTCAATGTTAAGTTCTATGATTTAAGTTAGTTTGATAGGAACTACTAACAATAGACAATATTTTCTATAAAGTTACATTGCTGTTTGAACATCTCAGTTTATCAACCATTTCGAGGCCCTACCCACTAGTTGGTCCAGCGACTTTGAATTAATTAGCAATGTTGCTGTCCATCAGATTATCTTTTTCTGAATTTTATGTCGACAGGCGAGACATATCTCTGTGTCAACAGTTTATTGTTTGGATTTCCTGGTACATGTATAAGTAAACCAATAATATAAATCACAATGATATGTACATTTTCTACAGGCATGTATGCAGACTTTGGCAAATTACAATTTTTCCTCAGTTCGCGAGATAAGTACACATGCAAATGACGGGAGAATCCACAGTAACTTGATACCTTACTGCAGGCAGATATAAAAAAAAAGAAAAATTGCTGAGACCTAATAAAAAAATGTGTTTCCTGTGTCAAATATTTCTAATTTTTGGTGTTGACCTTCATTGAATCTTTAAATTAAAAAAATATTGCTTTTTGATAAATCAAATTTTGAGTTGAAGAAATTATAATTTTTAAGTTGTTATATAAAATTACCTAATTGTAACAATTCTTAAATTAATGTATGCTTAAAACTTTGCTTTTTGTCAGATCTAATAGCTCAGGATCCAATGACAGCATGTCAGTTTTGTGGGAGTGATTACACACCAACACAGCGGAGAGTTAGAATCAAGTCAAAGGTCAAGCTAAGCAAGAAACTTGGTGTATTGTTACGGAAGTATGAAACTGATCCAAATAGCCTGGGGAAGTTCCAGTCCAACTTAGTTCAAACTTATTTAAAAAGTTGTAATACACTTGTAAGTAGTAAACAGGTCACAAACCAGACTTTATCTGTGGTACAAAAAGCTTCTCATATGAATAGTCAAAGTTATTGGGCATATGGTAGACTATTACCATGGTCCCCCATTAGAGTGCATTGGGCTGACAAAGTCAAAGTTATTGAAATCATTGGAGGAATGATTGGAAGAGATGTGTACATAATTTTTAAAAAACAATATTTTAGTCTTTGATTTGTCCAAAAGCCTTCATACTTGTAAGGACTGTTAGTATTCATGTGTACTGACTGGTATGATAGTGTCACATGTTCATATAATGTCATGTGTTTATAAAATGTCACATTTTTGTCGAGCAGAAAGTGAGACATAATTATCCTAGATGTCGTCATGGGCGTCTGCAACATTTAGGTTCAGTCTGTGGTTAAAGTTTTTTTACACATCAATAACTTTGTCAAACCTACATGGAATTTTATGAATTTTGGACAGAAGCTTGTTTATGGATAAAAAGACAGTATCCAGAGCAAAATTTTGAAAAGATTTATTTTCATTTTTCCGTATATTACTAATAAATGGACCAATTATTTTAACAGTTAACATTCAGATTTAGTCTGAGTCTAAAGTTTTTCAGTCATCAATAATTTTGTCAAACCTTCATGGAATTTTATGAAATTTGGACAGAAGCTTTCTGTCATTACAGGTTGTTATGTGTAATGTGTGTGTATATCGTTACAGGTTGTTATGTGTAATGTGTGTGTATATCGTTACAGGTTGTTATGTGTAATGTGTGTGTATATCGTTACAGGTTGTTATGTGTAATGTGTGTGTATATCGTTACAGGTTGTTATGTGTAATGTGTGTGTATATCGTTACAGGTTGTTATGTGTAATGTGTGTGTATATCGTTACAGGTTGTTATGTGTAATGTGTGTTTATATTGTTACAGGTTGTTATGTGTAATGTGTGTAAAAAGAAAACCAAGTATCCATGTCTAAAGAGAGAAGATTTAATACAACAAAAAGTTAAAGAAAAACAAAGTAAGTATAAAATATAAATATCTTGTATACTGTAAATTCAGAAATTATTGCATGCATTTATTATTGCGATTTTGTCATTTTAGACTAAAATGCGATTTTAATTTTTGCGATATTGTGAAAAATCCTGTTTAATTCATGTACAAAGTTTTAAAATGCGAGTTTAAATTATTGCGATTATAACCCTGTCGCATTTTTCGCAATAATAAAAACATCGCAATAATTTCTGAATTTACAGTATTTATTTTTACTATAGTGAGATATAGTCTTGAGATAAATTTGATGCAACATTAAACAAGGAAAAGCAGTATAAGAGTAAAATATCAAGTATTCCTGTGTGAAAATGCCACATATAATAATTGTTAACACAAATCACAGTGGAAGCCTATTGGGAAATAAAGAAGGAAAATGTTTGGCAATGAATGAAATATCAATTTAGCCTCTTCCTAGATGGTGAGATACCTCTGTGGATCTCATAGAGTATTGGAGAACTGGAGAAATTCATGACAGTAAAATCCGAATTGATAATCAAATTTCAACAGTTATTCTGATTCAATGTCAAAGTTGCAATTTTTCTTAGTGGAAAAAATTTTAAATTACAGGAAATGTTGTCTGCAGTTGCCGTTTATATTTGCAAATAAGTTTGCATAGTTTTCATACAATAAAAATCATGGTTATAAACAGTAGGGAGATAGAATATTTCATATCTGTGGTCAAATAATAAATATTTGGAAATCTTTTGACAGTTTTACAGAATAAGTGTATTATTGAGCCAGAGAAGAAATCAAAAAAGAAGAAAAGGAAGAAAAAGAAAGAAAGAGATGAAGTACTTGACCAGAAACCACCATCTCTGCAATCTGACACTGTTGATGATATAGACAGGTATTTTATGAATAAAAAGAGATGTATGTATACCTCAATGAGACAGCAACCCAATGATACAAAAACAAAATGACTTCTAGAGGTCAACGTAAAGTCTACAACAATATAGGTGTCCATACAATTTGCCAAGCTCTACATGCAAAGAGTCTGAGTCTAAAAAAAGTTGTGAATTAAAATAACATAGACTATTAAAGATCTTCCATGAACATATAGTTTCCCAAATGAAAAAAAACCAAAACAACACAAAAATAAAATGCAACCAATGAAAATGTACATGACTTGGGACAAACAATTATTTTATTTGTGATTTCAAAAGATGACCCCTGTTTGTTTGATCTTGGTCAGTGGAATAACAAACAGAACAATAAAGATCATACAATAAAATCGACAGTGACATTATTATTGATAACAAAAACACTAGAAAATAATAAGCAAAAAATATGTTATGTTATGAAAGAAACCTTCATGAAGAACTTTATAGAGATTATGGGATGTACATCAAATAAATATTTATTTATTGTTAATTTGTTCTCGTCCTGAATATGCATGAAATATTTGCCACTGGACATTTAGCAACCAACAATCAATCAATCAATCAAATAAATATTTTCTTCTTCACTTTAATATATGATGATTTGTCTTATTTAGACAGGAAATAAGAATAACATCTCCTCAACTAGGAACCAGTTCTCATACATATTCAAAGAATAGTTTAATAGATGCTACTGATCAGGGAACATTGTCTAAGTTAACAGATTCACGTAAATCATCTGCTGTGACACACAATAGACAATCTCTAACAAAGAAACCAGATATACAGGGTAATAAAAGAACAAGAAGTGAGGAAAATATTACAAAAAGTGCCAAGAAGAGGAAAGCTAAAAATTTAAACCAACAGCTTAATCAAATTTTAGCAAATGAGAAATCTGAGAGCAAGTCAGGAAACCTAATGGATTTTTTATCTAGCTTATAATAAATATGCAATTAATTTACTTTCCTTGACTAGTTTATTTTAGAAGTCAAGCAAATATGCCATAAAGGTCATCTCTCTTGAAAACATGTCTTGAAGGGTAAACTCTCTTCTTGTCCTACTTGTCCTATGTATTTTGAACCTCTATTTAAGGGTCACCTCCATATAAGGTCACATTTTTTGGGGTCTGTTAATAGTTAAAATATTGAAAAAAAGATTCAGATCCCCCACCCATAAACCATATATATTCTCCATTGCCTGGATAATCCTTTTATATAGTTCACCATAGGTTTTGTCCCAGGGGAACATAACCCACCCCTTCATATAGTTAATTGCTAAAGATATTAAAAACTGTTCAAATCCCCACTCCTAAACCATATACCTTATTTTCATGACAAGAACATTATAGTATACCCTAGATTTTTTCCCCAGTGGTTCATGCCCAGCCTCTTTAGTTTGTTAATTGTTAAAAATATCAAAAACTTTAGATCCCCATCCCTTAACCCTATTTAGTTTTTATACGACCGCAAAAAAATTTTTGTGGTCGTATATTGGTATGACGTTGGCGTCGTCGTCGTCCGGCGTCGTCGTCGTCCGGCGTCGGCGTCGTCATCGTCGTCGTCGTCCGGCGTCGTCCGAAGACACATTGGTTTTCGCACTCTAACTTTAGTTTAAGTGAATGGATCTTTATGAAATTTTACCACAAGGTTCAATACCACAAAAGGAAGGTTGGGATTGATTTTGGGGGTTATGGTAATAACAGTAAAGGAATTAGGGGCCAAAAAGGGGCCAAAAATAAGCATTTTTGTAACTTCCAGACATAACTTGTGTGTTAGTGTATGGATCTCTCTGACATTATACCACAAGGTTCCATATCACTAAAGGAATGCTGGGATTGATTTTGGGGGTAATTGCCTCCAAATTTTAGGAATTAGGGGCAAAAAAAGGGGCAAAAAACAAGCATTTTTCTAGTTTCATGACAATAACTTGTGTGTAAGTGATGGATCTTTCTGAAATTGTACTACAAGGTTCCATATCACAAAGGGAAAGCTGGGTTTGAGTTTGGGGGTAATTGCCCTAAACGTTTAGGAATTTGGGGCCAAAAAGGGGCCAAAAAACACATTTTTTTCTAGTTTCCAGACAATAACTTGTGTTCAAGTGTATGGATCTCTCTGAAATTGTACTGCAAGGTACCATACCACAAAGGGAAGGCTGGGATTGAGTTTGGGGGTGATGAATCATAATGGGGGTTCAAAAAATTTTGGGGGGGGATTTATTTTTTTTTCCTTTTTTTTCTTTTTTTCCTTTTTTGTTTCTTTTAAAATTTTCCATTTTAAGTTGGTTATTTCTGATTTATATTTAAAATCAAATAATAATGATATGGTAGGAGATACACACCAAACAGGATGTGTAAATTATTATATAATAAGTATTGTGCAATAGCAAGAAATTTTCAATTGCACAGTATTGCACAATAGCAAGAAATCTTCAATTGCACAGTATTGCGCAATAGCAAGAAATCTTCAATTGCTCAGTATTGCGCAATAGCAAGAAATATCCAATAGCACAATATTGCGCAATAGCAAGAAATTGTCAATTGTACAGTATTGCCCAATAGCAAGAAATATTTAATAGCACAGGATTGTGCAAAAGAAGATACTTCCTATAAATTGCTTATTTCTTGACCAATTTCAATGGGGTTTTATTCTTGATTTCATGGGGTTCTTTAATATGCTGAATCTAACCGTGTATTTAGTTTTTGGATTTTGGGCCCCGTTTTTAAATTGGTCCACATTGAGGTCCAAAGGGTCCAAAATTAAACTTTGTTTGATTTCATCAAAAATTGAATTATTGGGGTTCTTTGATATGCCGAATCTAACTGTGTATTTAGATTCTTAAATTTTGGTTCCGTTTTCAAATTGGTCTACATTAAGGTCCAAAGGGTCCAAAATTAAACTTAGTTTGATTTTAACAAAAATTGAATTCTTAGGGTTCTTTGATATGCTGAATCTAAACATGTATTTAGATTTTTGATTATGGGCCCAGTTTTCAAGTTGGTCCAAATCGGGGTCCAAAATTAAACTTTGTTTGATTTCAACAAAAATTGAATATATGGGGTTCTTTGATATGCTGAATCTAACCATGTATTTAGATTTTTGATTTTTGGGCCCCGTTATCAACTTTGTCCACATTGAGGTCAAAAGGGTCCAAAATTAAACTTTGTTTGATTTCATCAAAAATTGAATTATTGGGGTTCTTTGATATGCTGAATCTAACCATGTATTTAGATTTTGGATATTGGACCATAATAGGTGAATGTCCAATTTAAAATTTTTAAGTTCTTAGACCACATTCAATCTGTGTTAGAAACCTATGCTGTGTCAAATATTTAATCACAATCCAAATCCAAAGCTGTATCAAGCTTGAATGTTGTGTCCATACTTCCCCCAACTGTTCAGGGTTCGACCTCTGCGGTCGTATCAAGCTGCGCCCTGCGGAGCATTTTATTTTATTCTGAACTACTGTGATATGACCTTTCCAGTGCACCATAGGTTTTGTTCGGAGGGGGTCATGCCCCTGTCCCTCTCATATTGTATTCTTTTACCCCAAAACCATAAGAGTTTGATTTTCCACTTTCTACTGCTCCATACATTTTGTCCCCATCCTTTACCACAACTTCTATACAGGTAATAACATTTCCACCTAGTTTTGGATTTAACTTATAACTTAATTTGTTATATTTCTGATGTGTGATCTTTCTTTGATCTGTTATATCTTACAAATCATTGAAAAACCAGGGGAATATACCAACTGGGTAATCAAAAAGCACAAAATGGCCAAATAAAACGGGTGAAACTCTGGTGAAAAAAAACATTAATCCACAAACAGCCACACAAACAATCCCCCAGCTTAAACCAGGGCTACCTCAGGTGCTCTGGAAGGGTCAGCATTTCCTGTTTCACTATTGACACCCACCACTAAATTACATCAAAACTGAATATGTTTTGTTTTAAGTCTCATTGAATATGGTAAAGCGTTATAATTTGAATAATTTTGATATTAAAATGGCCTTTGATTAGTATTTTCACAAAATTCACATTTTCTTTTATGATATACCACAAATTTAACACTTATCTCATCGAGATTTGGAATGAAATGACAAGTATTGAACATTCTTCAATAAAGAATGGTTAAATTGATATGTCTTAAGGCAATGACAAGTATCGAACATTCTTCAATAAAGAATGGTTAAATTGATATGTCTTAAGGCAATGACAAGTATTGAACATTCTTCAATAAAGAATGGTTAAATTGATATGTCTTAAGGCAATGACAAGTATCGAACATTCTTCAATAAAGAATGGTTAAATTGATATGTCTTAAGGCAATGACAAGTATCGAACATTCTTCAATAAAGAATGGTTAAATTGATATGTCTTAAGGCAATGACAAGTATCGAACATTCTTCAATAAAGAATGGTTAAATTGATATGTCTTAAGGCAATGACAAGTATCGAACATTCTTCAATAAAGAATGGTTAAATTGATATGTCTTAAGGCAATGACAAGTATCGAACATTCTTCAATAAAGAATGGTTAAATTGATATGTCTTCAGGCAATGACAAGTATCGAACATTCTTCAATAAAGAATGGTTAAATTGATATGTCTTCAGGCAATGACAAGTATCGAACATTCTTCAATAAAGAATGGTTAAATTGATATGTCTTCAGGCAATGACAAGTATCTAACATTCTTCAATAAAGAATGGTTAAATTGATATGTCTTAAGGCAATGACAAGTATTGAACATTCTTCAATAAAGAATGGTTAAATTGATATGTCTTAAGGCAATGACAAGTATTGAACATTCTTCAATAAAGAATGGTTAAATTGATATGTCTTAAGGCAATGACAAGTATTGAACATTCTTCAATAAAGAATGGTTAAATTGATATGTCTTAAGGCAATGACAAGTATCGAACATTCTTCAATAAAGAATGGTTAAATTGATATGTCTTAAGGCAATGACAAGTATCGAACATTCTTCAATAAAGAATGGTTAAATTGATATGTCTTAAGGCAATGACAAGTATCGAACATTCTTCAATAAAGAATGGTTAAATTGATATGTCTTAAGGCAATGACAAGTATCGAACATTCTTCATAAGGCAATGACAAGTATCGAACACTCTTCAATAAAGAATGGTTAAATTGATATGTCTTAAGGCAATGACAAGTATCGAACATTCTTCAATAAAGAATGGTTAAATTGATATGTCTTAAGGCAATGACAAGTATCGAACATTCTTCAATAAAGAATGGTTAAATTGATATGTCTTAAGGCAATGACAAGTATCGAACATTCTTCAATAAAGAATGGTTAAATTGATATGTCTTAAGGCAATGACAAGTATTGAACATTCTTCAATAAAGAATGGTTAAATTGATATGTCTTCAGGCAATGACAAGTATTGAACATTCTTCAATAAAGAATGGTTAAATTGATATGTCTTAAGGCAATGACAAGTATTGAACATTCTTCAATAAAGAATGGTTAAATTGATATGTCTTAAGGCAATGACAAGTATTGAACATTCTTCAATAAAGAATGGTTAAATTGATATGTCTTAAGGCAATGACAAGTATTGAACATTCTTCAATAAAGAATGGTTAAATTGATATGTCTTAAGGCAACGACAAGTATCGAACATTCTTCATAAGGCAATGACAAGTATCGAACATTCTTCAATAAAGAATGGTTAAATTGATATGTCTTAAGGCAATGACAAGTATCGAACATTCTTCAATAAAGAATGGTTAAATTGATATGTCTTAAGGCAATGACAAGTATCGAACATTCTTCAATAAAGAATGGTTAAATTGATATGTCTTAAGGCAATGACAAGTATCGAACATTCTTCAATAAAGAATGGTTAAATTGATATGTCTTAAGGCAATGACAAGTATCGAACATTCTTCAATAAAGAATGGTTAAATTGATATGTCTTCAGGCAATGACA